GGGGGGGGGGGGCTTCTGCGCACACTATGACAACCCACACATAGAAGAAAAGCCATATACGTATATTAGTTTTAGAGGTTTATATCCACTAAAACTGACGCTTTAATATCGAAGTGTGCAGTTCACAAGTGGAAAATTTAGATTCCGAAAAGACTAAACTCGTGGTCTTCGGTTGTAGAAATATCCGTTTTGTAGTTATTGCGGAGATATTTGCAATATTTGGCCAGAGTGTTGTGTCATTCTCTCGAGCATAACGTCACAAGATGGCCGCCGCTAACAGTTTTTCGTAAATATCGAGAGACGTAGAGCTCGAATCGAAAATTCGCAGTCGAAGTCGCCGAAATAAGGCATGTACAAAGGCAGTGGAGTGTATTTTCAGTTGATTACTTAGTTAATTAAGACATACGACTAGTGGATCTGAATTGTATCCGAAACACCACCTCGAGCTTCCGATATTCTTCGCTACCAGCGCCACAGTTCTCTTCCAACCAAAAAGATGCACCACGGACGAGCTTGTCGGTGACTCGGTTAAAAGAACGATGGTGTTTGCCCGGTCCCATGGCGTGCGAGAGGATGTGGTGAATCCCAGGTTTCCCCATGTCAGTAAAAATCGAAGCCGTTCAACCTGTCATGGTGCATCGCGATAGCGTGCCGCGGCGAGTAATCAAGGAATCGAGAATCTTGGTGGGGAGCTAGTTATATATGCCGGTCGCTGGGCTGCAGTTTGTGTAATCGTGCGCTGCTACTTGAAGAGGCAACTCGTTCCTCACTGACTGCGATCTCCGTGAGTATTGTCTTCGATCGATACCTCCGTCCGATTGTGCTCGATGTAAACAAAGGGGCCGCGCTCGTTCGATGTCCGCAATGAATCGGAAGGGAATCGTTCCAAGTGCGACGCGTCCTCGCGATCGAACCCGATTTCAAATCGAGAGGATCGTTACCGCGACCGAGGACTTACCCCCCGCGGATGTTTACGGCGATTATCTTTAACGTTGTACGAGACGATTCGGACTGCCTCGAGTCACCTTTGTGCCGGCGTCGCAGAAATCGTTAATTCCGGGACTCGTGTTCGTGACGATCGGCGGCCGGTTCGCGAGCCGACGTGCCGGTTCGCTGGTCCCGTTGGTCGATCTCTCTTTCTCTCTCTTTCCCCCTCTCTCGGCCAACAGAGAAGCGGGACGAAGACGATCGATTCGCGGAATCCCACGTCGTCGCGTCTCGTCTCGTTTTCTCCGTTGGAAACAAAATGTGCATATTGCTTGCGTTCCGCACCGATCGTCCGAACCGTGCGTCACTCGTGCAATTTGTTCGTTTTTTACGCGTACAGATACCAGAAAAATAGCTGAGCACCGCCGTCGGGACGCGCGTCGTTCGCAGTTTTCTCATAGTCGACGGAGTTGCCTTCGCGAATCGCGACGGATCCGATCACCTTGAATCCTTGGAACGTCCGAGCGTATCGAAGCGCCCGGATCGTCTTGAAAACTCGAAAGGTATTAATCAAGCGTCGCGTCGCGTTCGCATACCGCGAGACCGATAGTTAGCCGGTCCGATCGTCGATCATATCGTCGGACAGTGAGATTCTTCCGTAGTTGAATTTTAATCGAGACACGATTTACTGGTTTCTTGCGGTTTAATTGCGATCCTCTGATATCACGTTCATTTATAATTGGTCAAAATATTATGTGCGAACGATAGAAGGTATCGGCGCGGTTGGTTGCGACTGATTCGATTTCGACGTTTAACGATGGGTGCTAGAAATATCGATTAGAAATTGAGTAGAAATCGTCCATGGATCACCGTGGCTAATTACGTCATTTTTTATCCTGGAGATTTATTGTATTATTTGCCGTAAATAACATGAATTGAATAAATAAGTCATAAATGCATCTTTACAATCTGAATAATTTGAATAATTCTGAATAATTCTGAATAATTCTGAATAATTCTGAATAATCTGAAGAATTATGTAAATCTAGTGTTAAGGAATTTTTTTTTTTTCTTCCGCGATGGATTAACGCGTAAAATTCTGCTTCGACTTTGTTCCAGGACCACAGCCGCAATGTGGAAAGCATTATTAACGCTGGCTTTGGCCAGTTATTGCCTAGCTGCACCTCAAGGTCAACAAAGAGACAAGCTCTTGGACGAACCGATATTGAGGATGTTGGTTCAGAACCCGAACCCGAACCCGAAGTCGAACCCGATCCCAAACCCGATCCCGAAGCCGAATCCTCAGCAGCCAAACCCTGGCAACAAGGACACCACCGGCAGCGCGGATTTCGGTAACCTAGTAGCGTTGTTGAACCAGTACCAAAATCAGCAGTCGACCAGCACTCCCTCAACTTTCGTCGGTACGCAAAACAAACCTAAACCACCCCCCGATGACTGCGAGTGCGTATCCTACTATCTGTGCCGGAACGGGACGGTAGTGGAGGATGGATTCGGGCTGATCGATATCAGGTCCGATTTCGATGTAAACTCTGAGCAGATGTGAGTCCTCCAAAGACCACCCTACAGAATGAACAGAGGCTTGGCAGTGTCGAGCATGTTCAATTGGAAATTCGTGAGACGAAATCTCGGTGTCCAGATATCTTTCCGCACAGAATCGACGCTTCTCGTAGAATTCTTTTTTGGACATTAATCGTGCATGCGTAGCGATTAGTCTAACAACACGTACACACAAAGTTCCAGGTGTCGTGCACTCTGCGCGATGATTGTGCACGACTCGTGAGGCTGACTTTGAATACACAGGTCCCTTTACATATACTCGTAATCGTAACGCCACAGAAACAGAGCCGATTCAGCGAAACGGTCGTCTTCGTTCCATTTTTATTGATTTATTTGTTTACCTATGTACGGGCAAAAGGAACCCGTTGGATAAACAGTAATTAGTGCAGCGACCATGAGAGACAGACGGAAATGACATTCTTATAACGGATCGTGAAAGATAGAGTCATGGGAAAAGTGAACAGCAAGGTCATGAATCGAGTGGCTTGAGAACGGATCAGTTAGAGAGAAAGAACTCTAGGAGAACAGACAAAAATAGCTAAGCTGGAGCTACGAGTGCACCTGATAATTACACAATTGCTTGGGTTAAAGAAGACAATTTGTTCCGTGTATACCAGCTGCTAAGTCGCGACAAGTCGTTCCGAATTAATAGAATAGATGAATAGAGTAGGCGAATTAATTGCCGAATTAATTGCAGAATGAAAATGTTTAGACGATCGGCGTGCAATAGAAACTTCGAGTCGAACGTATGCAAAGTGGATCGAACAATGCCTTGACGAGCAAAGTAACAGACCCGGTGAATTCGGTTCGGTTTGTTGTGCAAACTTCCACATGGCATGGTTACCTATGGCGGAGAAAAAATACACAATTGTCCATATATATATATATATATACCAGGGGAACTCCAGGTATCCGTTCTTCAATTCGTCGAGCCTCAACCGGTAATTCTTGCCAATTTTGTTAACGGTACAGTGCTTCCGGATCTTGCGACGACCACCTGGAGGTCTGCTGCAAGCCTTCGGACAAGCTGAGGCTCGGTCACGAGTTCATTCCGCCGCGCATCGAAAGACACGGTTGCGGCCAGCGAAACCCCGATGGCGTAGGCCTCAGGATCACCGGTGGCAAGGACAACGAGTCCAAGTTCGGCGAATTTCCATGGATGGTGGCTATCATGCTGGACACGGACATCGACAAGCCGTTCAAGCAGAGCTCGAGCAACATGCGGTGCGGCGGATCTCTGATCCACAGGCTGGCTGTTTTAACGGCTGCTCAGTGCGTCCGCGGGTGAGTTCTCGTTCACATTTAGATTACGCTGAAAAAGTTTCAAATGTAGGCACAACTTCCTGGTCAAACGACGATAACGCGAAGACCTAATCGATAGGAAAAACGCATCCTCTCTGATCATCCGTGCGGGCGAATGGGACAGGCGGGCGAGGAACGAGACCATCGGGCACCAGGATCGCAAAGTGCAGAAGGTGATTTTGCACGACAAGTTCTATGATTTCGCGATCTTGATCCTGGCCGAGCCGGTCGATCTAGCGGAGAACGTCGACGTGGTGTGCCTTCCAGAGCCGAATACCGTTTTCGACGCATCTCGTTGCTTTGTCAGCGGTTGGGGCAGGGATACATTAGGTGAGCGCGTCGTTTAGTAAATCCGATCTATTCCTTTATGCGTGTCAGGTCCTCCTCCCTGCTCAACGATCCGTTGTAATCGAGCTTAATTAGTGCGACGGTTGTTCCAGATTACCCGATTCACTTCCCGGCAATCCTGAAGAAAGTAGAATTGCCGGTGGTGCCACGAAGTACGTGCGAGGAGAGTATTCGGAATACATTAGGAAGACACTTCAACCTCCACGAGTCCTTTATTTGCGCTGGTGGCGAGCCTGGCCGGGATGCTTGCACGGTAATATAACGTCCTCGATGATTCGTGTCTTAATATTTAGTATCCCAGGTGGTGCAATTATTTTCTCAGGTTTGAGAATTAACTTGCACGTTGATACAGTTCCGGGTGAAAAGTATTTGTACACCTTTTGAAACGATAGGATAAACTTTTTCGAAACCGGACACTAAATGACTTGAATTATTTTTCACCTCGTTCGGTTCACAACGTTGAAAGATGTACGCAGACTTTTTATACCGATTCTGCGTTCAGGGAACGTGTAGATTCTTGGAATCATTTGAGATTCTCGGCGCAATCTCGACTATAGCCATGGGGTAGATAATTTTTGATGAATTAGGCATGACAGACCAGCATTCACAGAGCCAGTGTTTGTTTTTTCAGGGTGACAGCGGCAGTCCTCTCGTGTGTCCGAGTAAGAAAGATCCTACCATATACCAGCAGGCTGGCATCGTCGCATGGGGGATCGGCTGCGGCGAGCGTGGTATACCCGGAATCTATGCTAATGTTGCTTACGCGCGCACCTGGATCGACGACCAGATGGCTCGTCACAACCTGGACAATAATCTTTACAATATCTAACATGAAAATAGACTGACTCGTTTTATAAGTCCGTTACACGAATATATACCGTTGTACTCGATCAAATAGAGAACTTTGCCTTCGATATCTTTGCATCGATGCGTTTGGTGATTCAACGATTCCTGCGTCGTTAACACTTTTGGGGCTCTCGCGATCATTACATCGATTTATTTCTATTGTACTGGGTCATTTTGACTATCCTCGGGTAGTTCCGAGGTCAATAGTTTTTTCGATTAGATCCTTTCTCTAATCCCTTTCTCGTCGCTTTGATTTTGTGCCAATAGAGTTGTCGAATTAAAATATATCCCTAATAAGGATGACACTAGCTTTTTACTACTTTTCAAAATTCATTTGAATCGTAACACATGCGAACAAACTGAATTTGAATAAAATGTTAGCGCCGCTATGGCAGATATTAACTCTTTCTAGTTTCGGTTTCACTAAATATATTGCTTAGAGTTTGTGCGAACTTCTGGGATTGATTTGTGGTACTTAAGCTAAAACGGTAGGTGTGTACAGCGTGTCCAAAAAGGGAATGGAAGAGAAAGCCTCATTCAAAGTCACAACCGGTAGACTTATATAGCACCCTATTGACCGCTATATCCCCTCTTCTTTTTGCAAACGGATGTTTCCAAGCGAAGCGTGAAAAGCGAAGGTTGCCGAGAGGATTTAATTTTCGTTGCAATGTCATAAAGTAAAATCCATTCAGCAAACGGGATCCGCACTTCCGCTGTCGAATGAAGCGGTTTATGGACCCCCGGTGTTCCTTTGATTTTTACCAGACACCGTACGTCAACGGGACCGTCGCATTGTATCTCCAAAACGCTAGCTAGCTCTTCAAGAGGCTATTCCGACCGATCGACCACTTGAGATCGGCCACGTGCTAGACACGTCCTCGCGACTCTTCGCTTTTCTTTACATTCACCGTTGAATCCTAAGTTTTCTATTTGTTTCTTCTGACAGGGGATAAACGAAATGCAGACTTGGATGACCTCGGTTGCATAGTCTTTACATAACGCTTTCTCCATTTGAAATCATGTCACTGATTTATGACACCTTGCAAACGAGACAAGATTTTCAAAGCCTGGTGCTTTTGTCCGAAATTATAACTTTTTTAGTCTTTCCAAAAGACTGAAGGAATAAGCCTGGTGGAATTAATAATTGAATTCGTATGTCCTTCACAAGTGAACGACACTTCCAGAACGACGCTATTTATTATTCGATATGGTCGTCATTTCTTTTAAATCATTGCATCATCAATGATCTTCGAGCACAGCGTTTGCTCTGAGTAATTAGGAACAACTCGTTCACATATAGTTAACAAAAGTTAAGAAACACCTTTCAAAATGTAATAATATTTTTAAAACTGTACTAAATGACTTGAATTTTCTTTTAGATAATATAAGAACTAGTCTACTAAAATATTTTCTTTTTAATTTTCCTGTTACATGCTTGGAATGGCCAAAAATGATAAAAGACTCTCGTTTCTCAGATATTTTATCCGAACCTGGAACTGCAAAATCGTGATTTCTTGCAGTTATCAGTCGAAAGTTGTGGGAACCTGCGATTTTTGCAATCTTTAATTGTTTGTACCTCGTAACAACGTTAACCAATTTCGATAAAATGATCAGTATCTCGGCTGTTTTTATTTCAAAGGAGAACAGGCCGTGGTGGTAGCAGCTCGAGATAGAATTCGTTTCCTAAAAGGGAAGTCCGTCAGTTTGACAATGAGAACCACTGACAGAGATATGTAAACAATCTAGAGATCGCCTAGCTGACATCTTTGGCCATTAGAGATTTCGAGTTCGAAGTGTCAATAGACAATAGTACCGCGAGCGTGATTTGTGTATCTGAATCTGTACAATGGTTACAACACGTGGGAAAGTTAATGAATCGAGGCGTGTAATTCAGAGAAGAGGCACGGAAAATCCTTCGAGATAATTGATAACACGAACTTGCATCGAGTGAGCGCAATTTATGCAAGATCTTACGACATCGTAAATCTCCATTATGGATACCCCGAATTTCATGTAACGGTTAGTTCAAATACTGCGACGCATTTCGGCGTCGATTTCGGCGTCGATTTCAGCGTTGCAAAATAATATTGTCTTATTAGTTCTTATTGTATGTATGTATGTATGTATGTATTTCAACTATTTCTTAATCTTATTTTCAGCGATACCTGTGTAATTACGACCGTTTTTGATCATGTGAAGCAATTTTGAAAAAGGAGGAGTATAAGGGGACCGTTACCCACTTACCAAACTGGGATTGCACGAGGTCGACAGCATTTTAGGGTGAATTTATGCATCTATATCGAAGCCGGTCGTTCCAGATTCATTTTGGCACTAGTTTCATTGTTATTCTCTTCTAATATAGAGTAGATTTGTTTAAACAAAGCAGGTGCAACCAACAGTTCGCGCAGTCCAGCCGTCCATGTTTCCGATGTTGCCAGATATATCGATATATCGATATTGTCGCTTGTGATTCTCGTTTGCCTCTCCTCGCGGTGCTTGAATATTCTCGCGGCGCTGAGTCGCAGTTTAAGCGTGTAGTCCTCGTTATTACGTGAAAGTTTTCGATAAAAACAAGTAATTATTCGTGGTGTTCTGTGCTTTCCTGCCACTTGGATCGAACAATAGACTGGCGAAGATTAACGATCGAGAATCGGTGAGCATTGTAGTATATTTAATGTAGATTATCCATTGTTTTGCTTGACACGTGATACCATTCACAAGACTTTAGAAAGTATAAACAGTAAATATAATGTTTTTACCATTTTTATTCTTGCGACTTATGCTTTATTCTGCTATTCAGCAGCGAGCCTAATGATTAAAAAAAAGTACAGGGTAATTCATCTTTGTTAAACAATCCATTTTATATTGTACATCAGAAAGAACTTTTATGTTCCCATTTACTGTGATGTGTTAGCTAAATTGAGCTAATTAACATTTCTAATCGTGCAGAAAATGAAGCTTTAAATTAATAAAGTTGTATTTGAATAAGTGAAAATATAGAATATTCCAGCTTTGCTTAAAAGACAAAAGGCACACGATGTGCCAAATGTTTTAAAATATTCTGAGAACTGGCAAATTCATAATCGAAACATTTTATTTAAGGACCGCCAGTCTATCTGCCCTGATCAATTTTTACATGGCACAGACTAAGATCGATATTTTAGGATGTTTCATTCGTCTATAGTTGTACTAATGATTCAGCATTGATATTCATTCGATGTTATTCGTTTCGACGTAGATGCAAATTAGCAAAGACATTGTATGCTTTGTTCGTAGCTTAGGGGAAATAACATAAAATGGGGAAATCAAGGACGAAAGTGTGTGCTCAGAAAGAGAATTATATTCGTGTGAAAAAGTCTAATTCAAAGGGTCAGAAAAGTGTGCGTAATAGAAACCAAACATTGGAACAGAAGTATAGGAACATATTGGGCCCTAAGCAACCCATTGTTCTGCTACAAAAATGTTTATTTTTAAGGAACATTTTTTACAAAGGTACTTCGCAAGATTTGTCAGAAAGTTCTATAGACGATAGACACGACACAAGCAAATTAATTTGCCCGACAAATCGTGTTTCGTATCAATCGCCACGTGTTGAAGAAACCACATGTAATGATTTAATACATAATTCAAGAGCTGCCCATACTAAGTCCTCTAAAAAGGATAGTAGAAAAACCAAAAAATGTAATTTAATAGACGATTCAAACGATGACCGCATCGAGTCTTCTAAAAAAGCTAAAAAGAAAATTACAGTAAGAAATAATAACTGCAGTTTAAGTGTGGTTCCTTCGGATACAAAAATATCTAATAATCTTTCGAAAACATTGAAACGATCGAATACTTCATTAAGAAGTAAAAGGTCTATTCAGCGAAGTGTTTCTACATTGGTCGTGAACAAAATAGAAAAAGGTAAGTATTGTTAATTGAAGTTAATTAGTGTTATTTATAGTTCTTTGCTTACGATAAGATTATGGATGTTCGTGTATGTATAGCACACGCAATCTCGATTCATCAAAATTAACAGAATAATATAATCTTGATTACAACGAACAAAGAACTTTTTACATTCTCTAATTCGAAGGTCCATAGTCTATCGATGACGCATCAATTTTTTAACTCGTTTCACTTTTTTAATTGCTCGAACGGTGGTACATCCGAAGCATGATGTTCACGCCAAGACTAAAGCATTAAGAAATTGAAAAAGTTTAAAAACTTATTTGGATAAGTCTATATTATATGATAACAATTCGAATGATAAATCTACGTAATAATTCAGGTCAAACGCAAGAGAATAATTTGATTCTAATGGAAAACATAAGAATGCCTTGTACACAAAACAAAAAGAGAAGAAAACAAAAAAATGTCTCTGCGTGTAGTGCATTAACTAACAACAATGAAGACAAAGAATATTCAGACACGATGCTCTTGCAGGAAAAACTCCTTACATCGAATAACAACTTCTTGACAAAGCATACTGTAGACTCTACGGTAGAGCACGCCGTAGAACATACTGCGGTAGAGCATACGGTAGAACATACTGCAGTAGAGCATACGGTAGAACATACCGCAATAGATAGCTATGGAAGTAAAAAATCAAAAGGTGAAATATCACCTTTGCATAATAGAAATGCCACTAGAACCATTGTCACTGCCCTGTCTTCAGAATCTTTAGACACATCTTTGAAAACGAGATTCCGTACGACCCATAAAAAAAAGTTGAAGAATCATACCATGGAGCATACTGCAGTGAACATTCAAAATGATCCAATAGCAAAAGGTGAAGCATTACTTGATACTGATATTATCCAATCTTCTAAAAACCTAGATACAGTGATCTTAGAGGAATGGCTTACAACATCTTATAACAATAGTTTGAATGAACAGAATACTGAGAAACATACTGTACCAGATACTAAGCACGCTATAAACACAAAAGAGGAACCAGATAAAATTGATGATGCTCAATGCGATGCATTGCATCATCGATATGGGAATAGTTGGACGAAGCAAAAGCGTTTGTACGGTAAGGATAACAATATTGATGGAAGTAGGAAGAAAGTAAAATTAAATAGGTCCACTTGGTATAAGATTTTCGGAACTGTAGAGAAGACCAATGACACAAGCGAGGAAGTTGAAACAACTAACAAAGATGTGGATGTAAATAATAACAAAGAAGTTCCTGAATTGATACCTAGAGAGGCTGCCAAAATAAGTGCTGCGGCAGAAGCGAATTTAACCGAAGGTCAAGACGTTTTTAACAGAGGAAAGCAGAATTTGGTAGAGACTTTCGGATACAGCACTCGAGTAGAATGCGATGCGAGAACGGACGCAAAACAATCGCAGGACTTAGCAATAGAAACTTGTAATCCTGTTATACAAGATACTTCTTTAATTTCAGAGAATGCTAATTTTAATACAAGCAACTTATATTGCGACGATGACGATTACATTTCGTTGTATGCGGATTCGATGATTATCGAAGAGTAAGTATCAATAATTTCTTTTGCACAGAGTCAAGATTATAATTGGAACATCCTCTCGAAGCATAATTCATCGTTGCTTGCAGATGCGATATTGGAGAACCCCTTCATTCGCGGAGATTGAAAGGAATTTCGCTCGCTACCGAGAACCAGTACGTTATGAGCGACAATGCGATCGACATTTATTATAAGAAGAATGCTCTTGAGTTTAATGAAGCATATAATGTTTACGCAAGTAACAGCAAGACTAATATTCCGCAAGAAAAGGAACCGTCCCGAACAGCCAGCAAAGACGACGAAGATATTAATTCGACGAACGTAGTAAACCGACAGATGCAGATGGACCAGAACGTAACGCAACAGCAAAATTGGAATGCAGTTTTTAAATTCTTTCGGGGTTATTGTTACAAGACGTTGATGCACGGCAAATGTTTGAAACAAAATTGTCGTTTTGAACATGATGTATGTAGAATTTTTGCCACCAATTGTAACTCTATCGTGAAAATATTGTATGTATAATAATCTGTGCATTCTTTAATATACAGTTTCAAAATATTATGACAAATTGGTATAACGGGGATGAAAAGTTTTATTTCACGATGATAGACGAATTGATACTGAACCGGTGCAATAAATTTTTACAAAATTTTTTCGGAACGTGTATCACTCTCGATGCGAACGTTTTATACCTGATAAAAGTATTGAAAAAATTATGCGACAAGAATATCGTAACGATCTCAATGGCCTATGATTTCCTTAAAAAATTGATATCGTTGGGTATCTCTCTGAAAGTAATCGTCGACAATTTGGCAGCGATAGTGGATGCCAATGACGTAGAATTTGTCAATTCTGTATCGCAAATAATGTCTAATTTTATAACACCTGGCCAGATCTGGTTAACGTTGAAACCATTGCTAGGACGAGTGGAGAAACTGACAGAAAATGTTGCCGAAGTTATCATGGCCGAGAGTATACTGACCACGAAACATATACAGGACGTATACGAAAATGCCTTGAGCAAACTAGATTCGGAGTCCCTGGGAAAAATCAAACCACAATTGTTATTGGAGTTTAATAGAATATTTATGCATCTACATGACACCGAAGTGGAAGAAACCGAGGCAACTAACGCATCGTTAATTGGAGATATTTCTTCACCGGACGATACGTACGAGCCGAAAATTGTAAAGTTTCCAAAGGAAAATCATACACCGTCGACACTAGTGTGGCACGATGTTCTTTTTCACGATAACAATAACTCGCTGGGACAAAAATCTTCGGCTGTATTGCACCCCATAGGTAAATATAACCTTAACACTTAGTTTTGCTTCATAAATATGGACTGGATCGTGTTGAAAAAATTAATTCGAACGGGAGAAGAGAACTCTTATTTTTTCTCTAACGCTGTGTTGTCCGTCGAATATATATATATATATGTCTAATGATCGCATCCACTCTCCCAGATAATGTTACGGAACCGTATTCGAGACACGGTCGAGAGAGATTTTGGAAATTTTATTTGGACGTTCACAGTCTCCAGGAGGGACTGAAATACGGCGATTATGATCATATTAAAAGTATCCTGGACGCGGCGCAAACGAAAGATGCGACTCTATTCACTGGCGCCTGTTATAACATCTTGCTTAATAAAGTAGAGCATGCTAATCATCATCTGAGTAGGCTCGTCTCGCTTGCAGGTAAATCATAATTCGTTGTAACGTTGTGATCCGCAAACTTTTTTTCGACCTAGTTACTTTGTGTTTTATTATTTTCCAGTTGATCAACGATAAATTTCATTTCTCTGCCGAAGTATCAAGATAGGTTCAGTTTTAGTAGTTTCACGGTAGTTTAGTTTGTCTCATTTTGTTTTTTTTCTGCTCTCTCTGCATACGTTCTTCGCGTAACAGTAGTAGTAGTAGTAGTAGCAGTTCGATGTTCAATCGTTTATGAGTACAAAATATGTACGATTATTTCTTGGCCCGTTTTAAACTTGCACCAAGATCCTTTCTATAGACGCGTGTTCGTAATCATCGAGTCATAGTAGAAGAAGTTAGATGTATATAAAATAAAGACAAATTTATATATAATTTTGTACGATATACGGCTTCCGCACGAAGTGCTAACATATTTAACGAGAGCATTTCTGGTTGCCGCGCTTTTGTATTAAGATTTTACGGAATAAAAACGATTTTCTAAACGATCATTGAATTTTTATTCGAGGCTGGCACACCGGATACATCGTTTTCTTTTATTTTTCTCGGACGTTACAGTCCAAACCGGGGCGACGGCGACATTTTGCAAAATATTAATCGATGTCACGATATGCATATTGACTGTTCTGGCCGAAAGGGAGCTATGGGTTTTAGCGCTCGAACTGTTGAAGAGCATCAAGATCGTGATACAGCACAAAAGTAGTTTGCTTAATTTCAACGCCGCAGTTACGATGCTCTTCGGCGAAATTTATTTAGCGAATCGAAAACCCATGAAGGCCTTCATCCTTCTCAAGCGTGAGTCAGCTTCTCATTCGTCTTACGAGCCGCGAGAGCCATGGTTTCCCAAACCTATCATCACCAAGGTCTTTCTTGCTCGGCGTATCCTTCAAATTCAGTTTACGTTGGGAAACTATGGATTCGATTTCGCTAGATCGATGTGACATAGTCTATCTTTTCCAGAAAGTAATATTATTCATACGTGTCGTAACATGTGGAAGGTAAGCAATAACGAGAGGGACGAGGATATCAGAACGCAAATAGTGACGCTGCTTTTAGACTCGTTTTGCGATACGTCCCCGGAGCACGCTTTCAATCTCTTTGAATTCTTAATCTCAGATCAGAGCAGCAACTTTTATCCAATAGGTAAGAAGCGGAAAAACGGTGCATCGCGTTCGTTACGAACCGAATGAATCGAACATTTCTTGTTTCTTCTAGATCTGATGTCTCGAGCGAATAGATTAGTATCGGTGCTGCTGTTAAAAAATGATCACAACTCGATTGTCAGCGTTGCGAAGCTGATCGACGATTATAGTTGCGCACTGAAGCCGATCACGTATCGTGCACTGATTTCCACGCTAGTTGGCATAGACTCGAAGCTGGCTAAGCAGCTGTACCACGTTGCAACTAACTTGGGCGTATATTCCAAAATGCTTGTACGTGGGGGAGACGATCAATTTTTCTCTCGTTAATGGGTTATAATCAGGGGTTGAAAATAGTTACGATTCGATGGTCTCGATTCTTGGGACAGTTATGGAGAATACAGAAAGTTTCATATAACTGTTACAAGATATGTATATATAAAATAATTAATTTGTGCTTTAACGCCTACTTTCCGTGAGCAGATTCATCCAGTCATGGGTATTATCGTGAAGTCCGATTGGACCAGAGAGGAAATGTATCTTGCAGTGTCGACCATGATGGAGCAGCTTGCGGCGAACGTTGGTCATGCGATCAGTGGCATCACGCCGAAACAAGTTTCTTTGCATCTTATCTTCGAGGTGAGTTTCCGCTGGAATGCAATTAGAAGATTGCGGATTTCGTGAACCGATGACGGAACCGTGTAGCCACAGTTGGCCATTTTTCTGACTTCTTTTTACAGGCTACCTCGTTAGGAACGGACGAGCAACGCGACAATAAGCTGCAGAAAAGTGTAACGTTAATGAAAACGGTGCTCGAGACAGAATTCGACCCGCCGCTTTCCATGATAAGGAGAAGCAAAGGTAAATTCCACAAAATAAACGGTACCAGCGTTTGCAATCATTTGCGATCCTTTATGCAAAGCGTTTAACTTTTGCGCGACTGATTATTTTTTATTTTTTGATAGAATTTATTACAGATCATTGTTGGTTTTATTTCACTTTTTAACGCTATCGAAGCTTCTTACGAATATGACGTTTACAAAGTAAAAATACTCTTTTTTTAATTATCAACATTCAGATGAATTTCGGTGAATTCGTTTTATTAACAATTTAGCATCTAGCTTATATCGACTACCGACCGTTGGATCAAAATGTGTCGTTCTTGAACATTTCGCAATCAGATTATATAATCATGTACAACATTTTGCTCTAACAATATAGTATACTTGTGTGTAAACGTATATTTATACCCGACTGCGTTTCATTCACCGTATTCTGCAGGTGTCGCGCGATTCCAAATACGCTGACATTTGAAATCGAACAATTGTATACTGTCCTGTAGGCACATTAATCACGTAAAGCTGACGTTTACTGTAAAATAGTTTATTAATCACAGATGTTCTCGATGCTCTATACAAAAAAAAGAAAACATTTTTATTTGAAAACAACTCGCGGATCGGAAATCAGCACGGTCCGTACGATCTTTGAAAATGCAAGAAAATTGTCTTTTCCGTTAACATTTCGGGGACAGAATGAATTCTTCGTTGGTAGCACTAAGTACTTACAAGTCGAAAACGATGCAACTGTGCGTTACGTAATATGTACAGAAATAAATAATTATTCCCACCACATGGTTGCGAATTGAACACCGTGCATGGGGTTTTCTCACGCGTTCTAGTATACCGAAGTCTTTGAAATCCAAGTGTCGATCACGTGATCAGAAAAATATATAAGCAATACTCACGTTGCTTGACGCGGTGCTAGTTTCGTGCTAATCGAACGTTCAACTTTCTAGCTACTTCCCGGTAAAAAAAATTCACGTATAATTAATCGAACTCCGGTATATCGTCGAAAGAATACCCTGGTACTTTTTGATAAGCTAAAATGGCGACCCTCATGTGGTAAGCTCCCGGTATGAACATCAGAATCCCTAAGATAATGATCGGCCACATGCGATCGGAATACTGAAAGAAAAATAAATAACGATTAATATACAGAGCACATCGAAGCTATATAATACTATAAAATACTACTCACTTTCGAGTCGATGTGACCGCTCACGATTAGACTACCCATGATGAGCATAATAGTACCCCCAACGAACAAAAGTGCCGCCAGCGTGATGGCTTTCCATGGTATTTTTACCGGTGGATTCACGAACTGAAAAATCGTTACCCCGTTAGTGTCTATTATTTCAATATACATTCGTGCCTCTTATCGTTTCTGCCGACTGCCGCGTCGCCCGTACACAGATCACGGCATTGTTAATTGGTTTTGAAAATTAATTTGTATACGCTAATCTATTATAAGTTCCTAATCTTACTAAAATTCGCGCAATGTAAGAATTTTGTAAGAAAAATCAAATAAAATACTTTGATTGTACGAAACTTTTGAGGTTGTTGACGTGGACGTGTCAAACTGTCGAAAGACTAAAACCTTTGAGCGACGGTGGTGCAAGAACAAATATAGAGTATCACCTGGGAATCGACAAAACCATTGTCGGTTTCTGTAAGCTGTGTGTAATCCACGTTGTCGAATTGTCGGTCGCCGCCCAATTTTCTCCTGGACATGCTCACTTTATGAATATAATCTGAAAAATCGATACAACATTGATTCGGCATCAATTTATAATGCGACGGTTCGTATTCGATCGTTCGCACGCCATAGCACCAAACGGCAGCACCAACGAACCTATATCGCACCCAATTTTTGCAACGTTTATCCGTGCAAAAATTCGAACACTTTCGCTAAACGCGTCGGCCTTTTAACGATCGTTGTTGCACGTTAAAACATGTGGCTCGTCTAGGTAAGCCGAGTGTATCGGTCGTTATCTTTCACGATACGAACTGCGATAAAAAGTGCCAACGAATAAGCCGCGCCAGTTCGACGACGTCAAGTCGATGTTCTTAATTGTACAAATAAAACGTGTCAACGATCTAATGGCATTTGAAATTTTTAAACGAGACAACGATCGTTTCAGTTCCAAAATAACGGTTCCACCACGCGCAGAAGATTTGGACCACGGCGGAAGTCTCTAGCGGACGGCTAAACGATTCAATGACGAATCCAATGGACAATCGAAGACACTCGTTTCAATTAACTACGATTATACAACAACGAAATTAGAAACCGAATCGTCGACTGCAACGGACAATCGAATATTTAAACGGTACCTAAACGCCGTGGATGCGATTATAGACACCCCCTTGCTCTCTCCAGTAAAAAGATATATTTTTTTTCCATTCGATGGAACGAAAAGTCGACGTTGCAAACAACCGATAATGCTATTTGGTTTATTTATTCGGCCGCGTCGCAGTTAAATCTCGATGAACTTAACGTTCGGTACTGTACGTACGGGGTGGCTCCAAATACCGCAGTATCCCAAGGAACAAACCGTTATTGTAAATCTTCGGTCAAGGAACACCGTCGACGACAATTTACGCTCATATTTGAATGTTGTTATCAGAACTATTTCAGAATTTCGAGGTTATGTGTACGCGTCGATTATCAGCCGTGGCCAAGTCATGACGCATGCGTTCCGTAAATCGCGGGAGAATTCGAACGAGGAATTGGCCTAACCGCTACCTGTTAAGCCGTACGAACGCGAGCCAAGGGAAGGAAGGAAACCGAGGCACCGTTCGCGCCGAGGATAGTTTACCTGCACCGAACCAGCTTGTCCACATATCAAGGATCGATAACGCTGTCAAGCTCTCGCGTACGGAAAAGTTCGTTAGGCTCTCAACACTTCTGGGATCTCGGAGGACTGACGGCTGGTCACGCACAGGATTCGAAATGGTTCGCGTGCATTTCGGCCTGGCCTTCGGCGCGGTATGACATTGAAACGCGACTGCGGCTAACACCCCAGGTGTTACGAAACAAGGTCCTCCGTTCGATCGAGCGCTGCTACTGCTTCCAGGAGCCCAGGAATCCTGACCGTCCGTCCCGAGGACGGTGCAACGATGTCATGATAGGAACGCGGCACCCTTACGCAACAGCCCCGACGTCCTTGGCACGAGGAAAACCACTCGGATCCTCCCCGGGGTGTATCGACTGGGCACCGCACCGCTGCTTTTAGGACTTCGGCTTCGTCCTTTCCACGGACTGTGCGAACCCCCTGAGTTACGCACACTGTCAGCGTAGGAGAACTATCACAGGCAGACTATTGGTCACGCTTCCTGTCAGTAGTCGGATCGATCTGGGAAAATGAAGAGAGGCGGCGGTGGAAGCTGTGTGCTTGCCTGCGTCGCGACGCTAGGCGCAGTGCAGTACGACGTCGATGAGCGGCGAGGGTGCACGATTCCACCCTATTTTTCTGCGGACCGATGCACCCCGCATATTTCACCGACTCGGTCCCACGGTTATCCACGATCGCAACGCTCTACAGCGATCTGCCAGCGAATTTTCTGGTCCACGGTGTACATATCTCGCGCGAGCCACCGATTACGTGGCTAGAGCGCATCGCCTGCCGCGAGCCGGCCGCATTCGTAATTTAGGGTAAATCGTTCGCCACCGGACGGCGCGCAAGGGTCGCGCCGAGTGCCGAGCGAACAGGGGCTTGGGGGTCGAGGAGACGACGGAGGCGACAGGCTGCATGGAAATTGCGTGTTGGCCGCGGTAAAGACGACCGGGGCTGATAAATCGAGCCGTGTTTCGGCGATATCTCCGCAAAAATATCGATCACCGTGACTAGGTTCCCTATGCGGCTCGCCTATTAGGTCATTTCGCGCGTACCCTGCACTTATACGCTATCAATCGCTGCGGAAATCAGCGGAAAGCCGCGTCCGAGGAGCGGCCAATTTTGCGGGAGCCGCCTCTCTCGTCGACGACCACCGGGCCGTTCGATGCCGATTCGACTCTAGGGAGGACACGGCATTCGCCGCATTCCGAGCAACCCTAACTCCGGCTCGCCGGGGGTACCCGGAAGTAATAGTACAGCAATGAGTCTGCAGGGCGCCTGCGCGGCGAGCACCACGTCGGTGTTCGGTGCTCGGTGCGTGGAGGGCCCAGGGGCGGCAGTGCGGGTTCAGGGGGCGGCGAGGGCGGGTGCCTCCGTTGGAACTACCCCTTGGCGACAGCCCGCAACCATTCGGAACCTCGACGGATCTCGTGCCGCGTAATATTCCCGTTTTTCCCATCGAGGGTGTCCGTTGATCGTGACGACCGTTCCTCCGGCCGACCGCCGACTCGACCGACACGATCCACCAGCCGATAATCGTTCAAGGTAAATCGATTGCACGCAACGGTAGACCTCGCAACGGGAACAAGTGGGAGCGAGCGGGCGCAAGTGGGAAAGAAGTTGGCCGCCTGGAAATCATCCCGACACGTCTCCCGGGGCTTGTTTATTCGCGCAGTGGTTCCTGATACACGGCCGCGACGTTCCTCTGTCTCGCCGTGACACACAGGCGTGCTTAGGCCGTATACGCACCTCGGCTGCACCGAGCAAGGTGCTGCTGCTGCTGCTGCTGGGCCGCTCGTCGATAAAACCGCCTCTGTTCCTCGGCACGCGGCCGGGGATGCTGTGCGATTCGCGGCTATCGTTCGCATCAGCCTTGGCCAACACGGTTTCGTCATCCGGCGAGCCTAAGCCGACGATCGCTTTCAACGCAGTACACAGAGATCAACCGACGCGTAAGCCCGTGTATCGTGTCAGCCATCGCATTAGGGAATCACCGGGGTTTCTTTATATCATTATCCCTGTTGAGCCCTCGATATCGCGACACTCGACAGTCCCGGAGCTTCGCAGCCTTCGCGAACCGAGTCGGCCGAACGAGGTCCTCGCGTATCCTTGCACACCCTAACGTCGCCAGCTCGAGGGTTGCCACAGAGACGGCACCAGGAATATGTAAGCCAGCTCCCCCCCCGAGCTCCTGTTCGACCGATAAAGGAAACGACAACAGTGCCTTCTTTCTTTCGACCTGTGCACCAAGATTGCCCGGATTCTCTCTCTCGTCGATTGCCGCGTCGTCTTAACGCAGGATCCCGAGGCATTGGGTGAACCAACGATTCCAACCGAGCGAATCCAAAGATCCTAGGCTGTCTGTAACGCGCGGGTAGATCGTTGGACGACGCGTGCGAATGATATCGTAGACCCAAAGTGCCTGGCACTCTCAGCTGCGGAACCGCAACCCTTTCTCCTCCTCCTCCGCGGCAGCACCGCGTTTCTCGCACGACGGATTACTTTCCGTCGAAACGACGCGGAACCCTGTCAACGGATCTGTTCGCGTCCGAGACCGATCGTCTCAAGCTCTCGGCAAGTGCCTCGGATATCGCAACACCCGAAGTCCCGGGGCTTCGCAACCTTCGCGTCGAAAGTCTCTTCGCGTATCCTTGGACCCCGAGTGTCTCGAAGTTCTCTCGTGATCCCCCTCGAGCCTTCAGCGCCAGAAGTCTTAGGGCTTTGCAGTCATCCGAAGTTCTCTGTGTGTCCTCGGACCCACCGAAGCGTTCTAGGACGTCGAAGAACCTCGATAATAGTCAATTTATTGCAGGACCATCGCATACACGTGTAGACGGGAGAACTATTCGACTGGTAAGAATGCGATATGCAGAAAACGGTGAAGAAAAATAGGATGGAATTATTCGAGTACACCGACAGAGCACGGAATCATGTGGATAGAGTTACGCTTAACGACCGACGTTTTTTCCAGCACTCGAGTTTCCCGCGCAACCGATTAATATTAATTTTCGAACTTTTTCCATCGTTCGATAGATACGGTCCTGAGCGTGCGGCGACCGTCGGGGATTGTCGGTCGCATTCGGTCGCCTTCGCCGCGAAATTCAATTGTTTTTATAAAAATCGCGTCTCTCGACTCCGGGCACGTACGTTCTCTTCTCGTTCCAAACGCACGGAACGGTGGACGGACATCATTTTCCGAACGTGGAACGACAGTGTTAACCCTTTCCATTCGAACGGCGACTCCGAGGCACCGCTGAGATTGTTATATATCGCGTTCCAAGATCATTTTTACATTGTCCAAGTTCAGATTTAAAAATATTGTCAACGGTGTAACCGTTGTACAAAAGACTCAATTTCATTCGCACGAAATGCACTCTTTGCATAAAATGGAAATATCGCAAGTCTCTCTCGGGAAGATTATTTTAAATTTAAAATGGCTTCGAGTGCAAAGGGTTATCGTCAATTCATACTAAAACTATTGGAATCCATTCTCAGCGCCACGAGTTCTCGACAGGGTCGAATTCTGAATCAGCTGGCAGAGTAGTTTAGCAGCGGTCATTGCTAATCGAGTGAGTTAGAATCATAGTGTGGTAGGTCACACTTTTCTCATTGTAGGAGATAAAGAGTCTAATCGTTTAATCGTCCGCGCATCGTTTACCGAGCAAATTTATTGTCAAGACGATTCGGAGTTCAGTTAATTCGAAGGAACGTGTTTCACCGGCTTGTTCATTGGTCTTCTTAACATTTCGGCGCATGCATTGATTACATGTCATGACATAAGTCCAAATTTTCGTAGATAAGACGCCGCTATGATCCTAATCCCCTCGATCGACGCGTTGGATAAGGCCCGGAACATCGCGATCGATCGATCGGTAGACTTCATCGTTTAACAATCGTCCCGAGGGATGATTATTATTATTATTCCATTAACCGCGCGTTTCCTCGTCGGTCGAGACTGCACAGGATCTCGCATAAAACGTCTGTGCACAAAAATAGAATAAAAACAAGACCAAGACGCCGAGAGGGAGGATATAGCAGAAAAAGCCAGAATAGCGAGCACAATCGATCCGCTCGGTTCGATGTGTTCTCAAACCAGGCGCACGCTCGAATCTCTTGAGCCGTTATCATCCGAACACACGCAAGTTCAAGGGTCTTAGGCCCAATGGCCTGGGGGGGGGGGGATGGATAGCGGGGGTAGTCGCACAGTGGTACCTTTTGCTTGGCAATTTTGCTGCGTCGACGAAGATTTTCTTCAAATTTTCCTTCGAATCTAATCTTTCTAGAACGAAGCATCGAGGCGAAAATTTACACAGAGACCCGTAATTTGTTCATCGGGAAAAACGGTGGTTGTAGGACAGCCACGTGGTCGCGCGAGCCTCGCGTCTTTCACGGTCGCACGACCCGCTCGGACGCGGAAGCTCCGCACACGCGGCTACCGAAATGAGCGTTGAGGGGATGTTGCTCATTACGCGTCGCTTGTTTAGCATACTTTCCTCCGCCAGCGTCGATGAAAACTAGGTTAAACTAGGTTTAACTAGGTTAAACGCGAAACCGCGAAGGCATTGGAAGAATCGACGGATATCTTTCTAATCTTCTTATCGAAATGGCTACGAGAGGAAAGACGTTTTTATCGCGCTCAAGTTTCTTACAATTAGAGCTCGGACAATTTTCATTTCGCAGAAAAATTCTCGCAGTCCACTCACCGCGCGTTCGAACGAAAAGAATCTGATTTCCACGAAAAGTTCTTCGATTGCGACGCAAGTTCGTCACTTTGGCCCCGCACCGGGGGCGCGCCGGGAGCGCACCTATTACCGCGAGCGTCGACGACGACGACTGCGACGACTGCAAGTCTAACCGGGCACGGGCTAGCTCTACTTGACACGATAAGTCAAAGTCGGAGCCTCGAGGGCTCGGCAACTGGCTGGCGTGTGTCTCGACGAGACTCCGCGAACGTTTCGGAGTGTGCACAGAATTATGCAACCGAGGAGGACGTTCTCGCGGGAACGTTACCCCGGTGCACGGTGGCCTGGAAAGCGATAAATTTGCATCCGGATGAATTTTTATTCGATTCGATATTCGTTCGACGGCGTCGAATCAAATTTTGATCTCGACGCGAACGCGAAGTTCCTTTCTCCGCGTTCTCGTATGCCACGGGCACGTGTCGGAGATCGAACGAAGCCGTGGCAGAGATGTTCGAGAATCAATTTTGATCGACGGTGTTCGAGCGAGTAGGTGTTTCTTTCGATTGTGCGCCGGTCCGGTTTTTCCTCGCGCCTCGCGCTACTCGCCCGGCTCGCGCGGGACACTATCCTCCGCAGCCCGATCGATTATTCCCTTTCTTTCTCTCTCACGGTTTGCTCGACTGTTTACAAGCGATATATTCGACGAGCCGAACGGCCGCCTAGGGGAGCGCAAACGCGGAGTTTCGGCCGAGGGGGTCGTAGCCGATCGAGGGAAGTTTTCCCCGAGAAAAGCTGCGTCGCGAAACGGAACGCTTTGCTCTGGGAGTCGCGCGCGTAGTCACGTGCTCCACGGGTGGCGGGGACGGGACCGGCCGGGGCTCGAAGGTCCGTGCCACTCACACAATGATCTCCCGGTAATTAGTTTCAGCATGGAGTGCCCCGAGGCGATGGATCGAGGCCGGAACTTTCGTCTGCTCGCCGAGGAGGAGTTGCCCGAGCTCTTGGACTTCCTCGCCGACCACTTGCCCGAATCCTTAAAGGTGCGTTCAATTCCACTAAAAATTCGCCGGGCCGAGACACTCTGCCCTGGTCTCGCGCCCCTTTAACCGCGCGACCAGCGGCTTCGACGTTCCGCGATCCGTTTCTTCGGAATCGCGAACCGCTCTTCCCACTAACCCTTTAACTCCTGACACCGCTTTCGAGCACCACTCGCTTTCGCCGACCGAGAACGCTCGGAAACTCGACCGACGTTTCTCCGAAGCCTTCTCGGACGATGCGACGCGATGCCGATGCCGAGTGATACTCTAATATTTGTCCGCGGAACGCTGACCGGTCAGTTTATAACATACCAGAGCAGGTGTGCTAATTGTACTCCGTCCGTTCAAGCAACGTCCCGACGTTGTTCCCGACGAATTAAATAGCTTTTTTTACCTACGTCGCACTTCTTAAAAGACGTTGAAATTATATAAGTACCAATTTTGTTTTTTCATAATTGAAATACATTGCTCGAAAAAATTAGAGCACAGGAAAATGTCGGCTGAAAGTTGGCCAACTTTGAGCCACGATACCTCTGCGAAAAATCGTCGCAGCCTGCTGATCTTTTTTTCAAATTGAAGCTCGAAACCTCTACTTTAAGATGTTGTATCTGGATCTCGAATTTAGTGGACTCACGCCGCTGTAACCCTTTAAATGCGAGGCCATGCTCGTCATATCGAGAACTGCCAAGTTTGACGAATCGCGCGGACTTCGTAGGCTTGTCAGGCTTCAAAGGGTGGACTATATTCGAATGGCTCGCCACCCTCCGAAAACCCGATTCGTCTCGTTACGCGAGTAAACTAGCTTCCTCGGTGGCAACGATCCCTAATTCTCCCACCTCGATCCTTCTCTCGCCATCGGGAGTCCGTACGATCGATAGCAGAGGGTATTTTAATCAGGGTTTTCCTTCGCCGTTGCGACGAGAACGCGGCTAGATCGTGCTAGACCAAGGTCTCGGTCTTCTCCGAAGCCTGCAGGTCCGAGGAAGCAGGAATCTAGGATACGTGTCCCAATCACTGCCTCCTTAAACTGATCGCGTTACTTTGGTTGATTATTTCGGCTCGACGATGCTTAAAATGCATCGATTTGCATCTTAATAATGCTTAAGATCTCTCTTTTATTCAGGAACATTTTTCTTATGTCGGAAATATTTTGTGCAAATTGCTATTTCATTGAAAATCCAGCAGGAAGTGCTATGTCCCTAAATTAGTTATAATAACTAACGAGTTATAATTGTCAACCCTTAATCGGATTTCCTTTACTATTATTTTACTATTATTACTCGAAACGAGAAGGGCAAATTTAGCATCTTCAATTTTCCACGCGTTCTTTCACGGTCGAGTAAAATAATGAAAGTGGCAGTAACAGGTACACCGATAGTAATTGGTAAAATAACAGCGATCGGTACATTACCCTACGCGTCCACGGATCAACGACACGCGAATCTATGAGCGATAGGCACACTCGGCGGTTAATGTCGCGAGGTTAAGGTCCCTGGACGCGATCAGGCGAGCTGCAGGAAATTAATACGTGCAAAAGGCAACATCTGCTCGCGTTGTCAGGCGACCGCCGCCACTAAATCATCGGTCCGCGGACCAAGGCCTCGAAGATACCTCGCGTTCCACTCGATAACTCGCCGTTCTAAACTTGGACCGCGGCGGACTACGAGATCTTTAGTTGCTGTTCGATTTTTTAGCGGTCCGCGACGCGGCTTCGTTGACTCGCGAACCCTCTGGTCGCCCGGGGACGTTCGCCGCCGAGTGTACCGACTGCGGCTGCTTCGGGGTTGCAGGAAACTTTAGGGTTGCGCGAAGACAAACAACGGTTAGCTGCGCCGATGCTTCAGGGTGTTTTGCGAACTTTTCGATAGCTTCGCAGGGTGATCGAATGGCGCCACGATACAGCCCTTCGAGCCGTGGCGAAAGCAGTTTCGCTAGTACTGCACGGTTAAATTTACATTTTACTCGAAAAGCTGAACAAAGTTATTTTATTCGTTCTCGTGGGAACGGAAGCATTTGGGGGTGAAACAATGTTTACTACAATTCCACGAGAAATGCACCGGCTATAAAATCTGGGTATACAGGAACGAAGATAAGGACCAATAAAATTTGATTCGGCGTCGTCGAATAAAATTTGATTCTATCGCTATCGAATAGGTATTCGATCGAATGCTTTACCAAGATGGAAATAGATCCGCGTCAAATTTTATTCGACACTGTCGAACAAGCATTCGATCGAGTAAAAATTCAGTTAGGCGGAAATTGATCGGAGTCGAATTTTATTCGAACAAGATTTTACTTCGACGAGAACCGAGTCGCGAATAAGAATAAAGAACGAGTCTTAAACGCATGAAATAATCGACGACGAATAAGGAATTATTTTCGTATGAAATATTCAATCGAAACGATGAAACAACGTGCAACCTCTGACCCGAACAATTATCTCCGCGTTCTCGAGCTGCCGTATCTTCGCCTGGCAAAATTCGCCGGATCCGGTCGAGCTAGACGTTCGAGGGTTGCCATAAATTGGTTGTTGCCGCTAATTGATCGGCGCGGGTTGATTCGGTTGGCAAGATGTCCAGGAACGGAAAGGTCAAGGGTCTTGACGGGTCTGTCCTAGATTAGCGGTCTCAGATACGGCGGCCGAAGGTGTAGGATAGCCTTGAAACGGTCCGCTAGGACAACTTCTGACTCTCGTTATGAAAGTTTCACGGGGACGGGTAAAAATCGAGGGTGGGCAGGGGATCTGCGGTAGGGCACCTCGGGGACCTCGGGACCTCGGGACGCGCATCGACGGGATAAGATTACGGCCGGAGGAGGAAGCGATTCTCGCGCGGCATTTCCGCCGTAACCGGGTCTTAAATGCCGGCCGTTGGGCTAGGTTAGTGTCAAGGTCGCAGCTGGTACATTCCGCAAGCGGCATCGGGCTCTCGGTGGCGGCCGGGTTCGCGCGTGGTCGTGTCGTAAAGCGCCGCGCGACAGGATCTCGACTCTTTTTTAAAAAACGAGCGAGCCACGGGTGGACGCGCGCGAGCCGTTTCCAGCCGAATTGCGAGCCCTTTTGCCGATCAAACGGACCCGATCGGGTGTTTACGTGCACCGATTACGCGATCGCAAAGTCTCCCGCTCGCAACGCCGAGCGCAACGATCCGCGTAACAGCTGACGCTTTTTATCGCTTTCACCGGCGCGCCGCGCCGCGCCTCGCCTCGCCGCGATCAGCAGCGCGTGGGTGTTTATTTTAACGACGATCGGCGAGCCTCCTGCCGCGTTTTATCGGTGTCGCGAGACCTTCCCGATCATCGCGTTCGTTGGCTACCGTTTTCCGCCGATCGTGTTTGTCCGTTTATCCGTCCGCCACCCACCTTCGAAAGAAGAGGAAGCAGCCATTGTTTTTCAAACTCTTTCAATTCGACGCGCAACATCGATTTTAGACGAGCGAACGCCGCGGCGTTCTGCAGCGTTTTATTTCCTGAAACCGTTTGGCTCGACGACGTACGCGCGCGCTTAATTTTTTCTGAATTGGAGAAACTTCGTCGGCACGAGCTCGGAAATGTCGAGTCGTTCGTTTACCGCGAGAGAAAAGAAAGGAAAGAACCGATCCGCGCGGTAACCAGGGTGGATGTCCCAATTTTTGTGCCTCCGGATTGAATATATATTATTATTATATATATAGAAATGATTATAAAGTGCGCGTTTAAGCTACTTTAAGCAATATCATATATATATACACAGCTAAGTTATGTAAGAAGTATAGGGAAACTCGATGCGACCGCGGAAGACTTTCAAATACGCAGGTACTAAACAAAGAATGGAATTAAATAGAGATTGAAAGGCGTACAAATTGTTTGAAATTCCATGGCACGGTAAATTTGATTGGTGCTTCAGAGTCGTCGTTCGAGCGCGAAGGGTCAACGTCGCGACGCCGTTAAGGTCCGAGGATTGCCGGACAGCAATTGCCCGATAATTGTCTCCGTAATCTACGCACCCAGCTTCCTCCTATATCTCGAGATTTATCGCCGTTATTGTTCCGCGAGATTACTCAAGGCAATTCGCAGATGGCACTGCTTATCGAACACGCTCCCCCGACGTAGGCTTTTCTCTCGAACGTCTGCCAGCCTGCAGCGCCGTAAGCCGCATTCGGGGATCACCCGAAAGCGGTGCTTTGGAAGGATCAGAATTATTTGACACGCCAAATCGGACGGAACGACCGGTCTTCCGATCTCCCATTTCACAGTTCTCGATATTACAAGAATGTTTCTGTTGGAAATGTTTCGATAAACTTGGAGAATTTTTGATGAAAATTGGCCAACTTCGACCGGCCATAACTCCGCGAAAAATCATTGTGGGACGATGATCTTTTTTTGAAACTGAAGCTTAAAAGATCGTGTACTTGTCGCGTCGACTATATTAAATTGTAACAGTTCTTTATTCCATTATATATTTTATAAAATTGTCGAACAAAATACGAAGAGAATCGAAAGTACACATTACACAAATGACAGTAATTCTTTATTAAATTATATATTTTATAAAATTGTCGAACAGAATACGAAGAGAATCGAACGTACGCGTTACAAATGACAGTGACGCGCACGCTTTTCGACGAGATTCGACGAGATAAAGGACCCACCATGGACACAGAGCTAACGTGACCAAAACTATTTCTTGATCGGCGCGGTAACTGGTTCGATCATGGAGCACAGGCTGGCGCAATCTGATCGCGCGTATCGGTGGCAGCTGGGCATGTCGCTATTGGTGGAAATTATCGTCAGTTTTCCAGAGTTCCCGGCTGTTCCGCGTCGTTCTCGGCGCGCCGATAACAACGTTACAGGTCGGCGCGTGTTTGTCTCGCAGCGTTTTAGCCTAATTATCGACCACGTCGCCGGTGTCCGGGCCAACTAGCCACGCGCGTTACTACGGCAAACGAAGCCTCAACCTTTCCACGGGACGAAAATCGGTGTGCGATAGAGCCGCGCGTACGTGACGGACACCTGTTAACGCAAAT